ACTTTGAATGCACGTTCTTAACTTTTCTCAATATTTTTTTATCCAAAACATGTCAATAACAATAATTGGACAAATAGTGATTGTGTAAATATTTAAAAAAAATATTATATGAATTATACAAGATATTTGTAAAATATAAAACTATAAAGCTCTCCCTCACTTGGTATGAGAATGGATGAATTAAACCAAACCCTACAGGCTACGACTAGTCCATGTTCTTCCATAACCACCAAAGCTCTTGGGCTTATATATATACCCATCCTTTTGCTTGCTATTGCTACTTCCTCTCTCTATATCTCTCCTGTATCACAGAAGCTACTTCTTTTCAAATGGTACTCTCTCTCTCTCTCTCTCTCTCTCTCTCTCTCTCTCTCTCTCTCTCTCTCTCACACACACACACACACACACACACACAAACTACCTCTCTCTATATCTCTTATATCACACAATCTACTTCTTTCACTGACTTGCAATTGCTACTACCTCTCTCTCTATATATTTCTATTATGTATGTATGTATGTATACTTGGACCAGTATCATAGAGTTGTGTCAAAACACTAAAAAAAACTATAGTTAATGATAACATGAACGATCGTCTTAATGTTTAATTATGAAAATATTTTTCTCGTATTTATTTATAATTTATTAACTTTCCTCTTTCCGGATATTATTCACAAGAAGTGACAATGATTGCATTTAAAGATATGAAATATCTTACGATAATGTATAGATATATATAATACAAAATAAAACGTCAACTTTTTTTATTTGAATTAGTCAGACCGAGGTCCCCAAGCTCCAAACCAATTTCCTTGTCCAAGCCGTTTCCTTTTTTACTTATCCCAAATTATATAATGATGTAGTTTAATTTAAATCGTGTTATCAAATATTTTTTTTAATATGAAATTAAGTACCAACATTGCTACTAAAAAAGGTCAAGTCTTTTGACAATGCATTTCAATTGATAGAATGTAAGGTGTCAACATATATGCACATTAGGGAGGACGAAGTCGTTCCCTTCCAACCTACTGAACCCACTGTCACATCAATTTTTGTCTCTTATTTTTCTTCATCTTTCCCAACCCACAACACATGTAAATCATATCTTTCTCAACCCACTCAATTAAAAAAATACAAAATAACTAAGGTACATGTTTTAAAACACATGGTACAAGAGGAAACAAGAGAGAGAAAGTAGAGAGAGATGATGAAGTGGGTTAATGAAACCAATTAACCAACCCGTTGAAGCGGGAGTGGTACCACCGGTAACTCGATTGCTAATTATGATTTTACCTTTGATTGTTTTGTATTTTTTTTAATTGAATGAATTGAGTGGGTTCAAAAAGATAGGGTTTCCGTGTGTTGTTGGTTGGAAAAGATGAAGAAAAATAAAAGAGAAAAAGTGATGTGACAGTGGGTTCAGTGGGTTGGGAGGGAATAACTCCCTCCTCCCTTAGAGGCGTAGTCAATATAGGGCAAGAGTGGGTCTTGGTCCATTCACACAAAATTAAGGTTATATATAGAGTAAATTACATGAATGGTCCCTATGGTTTAGGGTAATTTGTACGTTTGGTCCCGAACTTATTTTTTTAACTCGGAAGGTCCCTACTGTTTGTTTTTGTTACAAGATTGGTCCCTGTCTTACTTAAAAAGATTATTTTGCCCTTGATTTTTTAATTTATTTAAATAAACACCCACCTCCTCACCTTACCTTACCTACCCTCCAATTTCCCTATTTAAATAATAGTCGTTTTAGGTAAGACAGGGACCAAGTGCGTAACAAAAACAAACAGTAAGTACTAAGCGCGTGATAAAAACAAATAGTAGGGACCTTTTGAGTTAAAAAAATAATTTAGGGACCAAGCGTGCAAATTACCCCAAACCATAGGGACGATTCGTGTAATTTACTCTATATATATATATATATATATATATATATATATGTGTGTGTGTGTGTGTGTGTGTGTGTGTGTTAAATAAAAGGAATTGGGGTTGTAATATGGCATATTCTATTTAAAACATGAAATTAGTATAAGAGAATACATTGTTGTCTATGTCGATTAGACTCCATTTTAGATTATTTTAATGATGTAAGATAACATCGTGTGCAACTTAAAATAAACAATTTAGTTAAGAATACATATATAATTACATTTTGTTATTGTTTGAAGAATTTTGCCACTTGTTCATATTTTGTATATTATTTGGGTTACTTTAAAACAAAATCCTGGCTACGCCACTAATGCACATACTATCTATGATACCACATTTAAGGGTTTCTTTTTTTCTTTTATACATTTTGAGCATTTTGAATGAGAGTTAGTCCATACACAACAACAAGTTGTTGTGTATGACAAAAAATTGTTGTGTAAGAATCATTTGTCATTTTGAATACTGAACATATATACGATAGAAAAATCACGGTATCCACATCGTAAACGAACTTGTATTCGTCCAACCTTTTACAAATACTTAAATAACAAATTTAAATTTATCTTAAGAAAAAAAAATGAGATAATTTGGCCAAACCTATTGAAAGAAATAATTACTCTTATCATTCAAAGTTTTTTATCTTATAGTCCAAAGTTGTTCTTATAATATTTAAAAATTCTTATATCACTTAAAAAGTCTATTAAAAATGTATATAGCATAACATGTCGTATGAGTCTCATGATCTGTTTCTATTAATTATAATCGAACTAATTAAAATAAGGGGCCCCTTTTAAAAACACAACACAGAATGTATTTATTGTTACCTCATGACTATTATTTTCGAAAATTAAATTAAAGTCAAAGTTTTGTGAACTGTCAATGACAAGACCAACTTGGCTGAAATTGCCGGTGCCGGCAAGTCACAGCCAGCTACTACTGGCGAATAAATTCGGACATAACAAATGGGGTTTCGAGTTGTTATAAATTAAAATTGCTTTTTTAAATAACGGTCAACGGTTTTTTTAGTATTTTATTAAGGGGTGTTTGGGATTGTTTATTTAAAAAAAAATTGTTTTATTTGTAAAGTTGTTTATTAGTTTTTTCGGTATCAAAACGGAGTTTAAAAAAATATTTAGATTAACTTATCTAATATCAAAACGTAATAAGTTGATTAATTGTTTTTAGTGTTTGACAATTTCTGCTTATATATGTAAAAATACTAATAAATGCCGACATATAAACATATATTTACAATAGGGTTAATATGGTAAGTCATATTAACCCTATTGTAAATAAGTCATAATTTCATAAACTATTTTATATAAATTAGAACCCATTAACTTATCAATTAAGTAAATAAGTATTTCTTTTATTTTAATATATCCAAACACTAAACTTGCTTATTAACAGTAGATGTGACAATGGGTCGATCTGAGTTGGGTTCGAGTTTAACCCATTTAATAATTGGGTTGAAAATTTCAACCAAACACAACATGTTTATTTAAATGAGTTAATATTTCCAATCCAACTCAACTTTTTAGATAAATGGGTTATCACCGGGTTGATCTTGTTATGTAGTTCCCGACCCAACCTATTAAATATATGGGTTAAACTTGGGTTAACCTATTTAAAATCAATTAAATAAATTATATAATTAAATATTATACCACTTAAATTATAAAACGTAAATAAAACTTCATAATTATGATAAAAACACAATCTTAGTTCATAAATACAAATAAATTGTTCAAATAACATTAAATGTGTTTAGTTTCATTGTGATTTTGGAGAGTGACCAGTATTGTCAGCACTAAAAAAGGATGAATATTAGGATTGAATTTTATTAAACATAGATAATAATAATGCAACATTATAATTTACAAATTAATACTTTGATTAATACATGATAATATTCAAATAATATTAAATTATATATATATATATATATATATATATATATATATATATATATATATATATATATATAAACGTTAAATGGGTTGACAGGTTGAAAACATGTTGATAATCTTTACCCAACCCAGCCTATTTAATTAAATAAGTTAGACAGATTGACACATATAAGTTAAATGTGTTGAAAATCTCAACCCAACTCGTTAATTTTGAGTTGGGTTGGCGGGTTGAGTCGATTTTTGCTAGCTCTAATTAACAGTGCCAACCAGTCATTAATTCATGTTTTGAGTTGCACATGATTAAAAAAAACAACACGATAAATACAAATTTTAGACCTCATGACATTGTTTGAAGTTAAAAGCTTTCATTAAATAAAACAAATCAAGAAGTTTTCTTAAAAATATATTTGTTAATTGTTACATATCCTTGAAGTTCATAAAACAACGTTATTTCGCGTATCATATATTAAAAATGATGTAATAAGAATCAATTAGACCGGTAAAAAATTAAATATATATAACAAAAATGTAACTGATATAAACGACAAAAACAAATTGGTTTCGGTTTTAAGATCATCTTGAACACAGACAATAAATTGTGTACAAAATAAAAATAGTTAGCTTTTAGGCGCAACTCCATTACTTTCGAGGTTATATTCATGTGATTTGGATGAATAACATATCTAGGTTCGAGTCCATCAATAACCACACTCTTGACTCATCTTAGTCTACTCCTTGCTCGCTACTCAATTTCGTGAACAAAACAGACTGATATTGTTTTACCTGTCTTATAATACTCTTTGAAACCAAGGGCGGATTTAGGGGTGGTCCAGGGTGGCACCGGCAACCCCTAACTTTTCCGGCCGCAGTTGAAAATTTTTCAAAAATTTTATTTTTTCTATTATTGTGCAACCCCTGACTTTCCCGTGCAACCCCTACTGTGAAATCCTGCGTCCGCCCTGTTTGAAACTAGGGTGTCATATTGTACGGTTGGTATTTGGGCAACTAAACAATCCTACTTTCAAAAATACAAAATTAAAATACTATTTTCTTCAAGTTTGAATTATTTCGATATTGATAGTTAGTCACATATTGACAAACATTATTTATTGACAATTGTGTCTTAAAAAAATAAAATGGTACATTTTCTTGGAATTATGATTTATGACAAATGTAAACGCTACCCCACACCATATCTCCATTTGGGTGAAAATCTACGCTGGTTTTGGCTTCAAAAAGGCAAAAAAATCTATTTTACATTTTCAGTTGCTTTCGTTACGCGTTTATCTAGGGTTTTTTCTTATCTTTTCCTTTTACGTTTGCTTCCCTTTATCAAAGATTCTCCGCCCTCATCGACTTCCTTAAAGTTTCAGGTTAATTGATTCGATTTCTACGTTTTTGTGGTATATTAATCTAATTCTCGTGTGTTAATATCGTATCTCTACAAAAAAATGGATTCTGAACAGGTGAAAGAAGAGGAGGAATCCACCGTAGTTCTGACTTCGCCTTTATCGTTGGATTGTGAGTCTGGGAACGATTACAGAACACCGAATTTGTTACAGCGATTATTGAGTCTCTTGAAGAATGTTCGACCAGGATCCGATCTCACTCGTTTCACAGTATGTTTTTCTGTTTTCAGTTATTGCTTATGTACGTCTCAATCAAATTATTCAAAGGGTTTTGCTGCTTTTATTCGATGTATCTAATAGCTATTGACTTTTGTCTTCGATTGTTATGTAACTTTTCAAAGATTTCAGCCACATAATTCTCTAAATTTCGATTCCGATTGTGAAGTTCAATCAGGTTATTTGAAAATTTAGTAAAGTTTTTATATTATCATCAGTTCTGTGGTGGAAGATTAGTCTGTGTGATACATCACAAGTTTCTCTTTTTGTGCTTGAGATATTATGAATTTATGAATTTATGTTCTTCTCAATTCTCATACACCTCTTTTGTTTGCTTCTTCATTCTATAAATTCAGGTCCAAATTGTTTTTACTTTTCTGATGAGTAACTGTTGATAATCAATTAATCACACTGCATTTCAGTTGCCACCTATCTTCAACATTCCCAAATCACAGCTCCAATGTTATGGAGAATCAGTATATTGTGTCAACAACGACATTCTTACCAGATGTGCAAATGGTGGAAGCCCACTTGAAAGATTCACATCAGTTGTTGCATGGAGCATTTCTACTTTCCGCCCTCTAATGTTTGGTGTGGCTCCCTACAACCCCTGTTCTTGGAGAGACTCACCATGTCTCAAGAGGCAACCTAAATGTATTACTAGAACAGGTAACACCTTCTTTGAATCAAATTATATTTTTATATAAACTTTCATAAAAAAAATGCTTGTTAATTGTTACAACTTACAATCACATGAACAACTTGTTACTCTTGTAGGTTTCACATCATCCGCCTGTGAGTGCTCTTCATGCTACCAATGAGATAGACAACATTGAAATGACATGGTGTCAATATGCAATTCCAAAATTCTGTGGTATTTATAACATTTTTATGCGCTATTTGTTAAGTTGCACAAGAGTCAAGACATAACAGAACAGGTTGTACTGTGTTTGACATGCATTGGACTGCGACTGGAACTGATATCAATGAAACAAAAATTTGCAATTTTTTTTGTCCTATTCAAAAAGGTGGGACGGGGACTCACTCCCAATCTCTCATCTGTGCAAAAGACGTAAACGCCCTTCTCATCCTCATAATTGAAAATAGCCCTAGAAAGCTCGTCCAGTCCAATCCCCTCCCTTCCTGTGTAACAAACGCAGGCTGTGTTTGTTAACCAGGAAATGATTTGACTGGACAAGCTTTGTAGAGCTATTTTCAATTATGAGGATGAGGAGGGCGTTTACGTCTTTTTGTACAAATGAGAGATTGGGAGTGAGTCCCGGTCCCACCTTTTTGAATAGGACAAAAAAAATTGCAAATTTTGTTTTATTGATATCAGTTCCAGTCGCAGTCCAATGTATGTCAAACGCAGTACAACCTGTTCTGTTATGTCTTTGTGCTACTTAAAAAACGGAGATTTAAATCATTTAATGTGGTTCTTTTAGTAAAATATTGTATAATTATGCTACTATTCTTTTATGTCATTTAGGTACCTCGATTGAAACAAAGGTGCTTGGTAAAAGACATGTGAAGCTTGTAAACAAGGGTGAATGTTACGTGATGAACTCCCCAAATCTTGTTATAAAGTTTCTTCCTTTCCCTGATGTGGAGTGGCTGGGAAACGTTAAAATTCAATGCGAAGAAACTGGGCTTGAAGCCGAATTGTGTTACAAAGGCAACTCCTTTCTAGGCAGAAAGGGAAATTACAGATCTATTAGAGGAAAAATTATATCTTCATCAAATATGAAAACTATTTACGAGATCAATGGTCATTGGGACAAGTAATTCTTCTACGACATTCATTTTCACAAAAACACCTTTTTGAGTGGGTTAAAGATTTTTATTTTTATTTTTTATTTTTAAATATTAACCAGGACTGTGACAGTGACGGATATTAGCAATGGCAAAATGACAGTGATTTATAGGGCAAATGATGTAATCTCAGGACTTAAAACACCAATTGTGAAGGATGTGAAGGTATAATTTTACTACTTTTTTTTTAATGTTAAATGTTTTTTTTTTTTAATTTATATAATGAATTTTAACTAATCAGGGAGTGTGGAAAAGTGAATCTGGTGTGGTATGGGGGAAAGTTAACCAAGGGATAATGAACAAGTCATGGGATGAAGCAAAAGTTGCAAAGACAACCATTGAAGAAAAGGAGAGAGAATTTGCTAAAAATAGGAAGTTGAAAGGTGAAAATTGGGTTCCAAAACATTTTGTATTATCAAAGTGTAGAGAAAATGGTGAATGGGAGGTGAAACCTAAAAATACAAAAGTCCCTTTAGCACCAATAATCGTACCTATTTGAGAAATGTATATATATAATATTTCATTTCTTTCGTGAAATCCTAAAATAATTGAAGCATCGATTACATTACATATAAACAAAAACATAGAAACATAGATTTGTTGGTTCCTAATAAACATATTTAAAGAATAGAAACTTGTTCTTACTTACAAAAGTTCAGCCATTTATGGCGTTTACATCAAAAATAGATACAAGGAAAATTTACCACTAAATAATTGGCCAAAAATGAAGTTCATTCGAAAAAGCTTTACAACAAAAGGAAAAAAATTGTAACAAAAATTTCAAAACATTGTCTGATGTGTGAAAAGGTCTATCATGGAGTTTTGAGTCTCGGGCAAGAATTTCCTTGCGAATAAGTAACATGGACGATTGATCCCATTCAACATACAAGGCGTAATCATAGTTTTCTTCTGCATAATTTACAATATGATTTATATTCAATGATTCTTTAAAGAAGAATAAGTAAAAAGGCTAAATGCATTTCATGTATTTGTTTATTATAGCAATGTACTTTGAAAGAAACTTGTTTTGTATTTAGACGTTAAGAAAAGAAAGTAGGATGTTTGACATTTCTTGCATTTAACCCTAAAAAAAAAGATATACCTTTCGCTCACTTGTAACATGAACACTCTTGGTGATCGACTGCAAGAATAATACAACCAACATATCAAAATCCAAAAATTCAATGATAAGAATGATGAGTATATTCATGTCATCGGAAAAAAGTCCTTTGTCTTTTGTCTTTTGCACAGACAAGACAATAAGTCCTAGTGGGTCCTACCTTTCATATTAGAACAAAATTTGCAACTTTTATCTTATTGATCAAAATCTCAGTCCAATGCAAGACAAATACAGTGTTGAGTCTCAGTCCAATGCAAGACAAATACAGTGCAACAGTTTGATTCTATACAACTAATTATACCGTAATGTTTTTGATTAGTTGGTGTGAGATGTCTTTTTCTCGGTAAGATTTTGGATGCCATTTTCCTTCGGACCAATCAACGTGTGTTACTGACCGGTTTGCGATCCCTTTTGGATCGAGAATCTGAACATTAAAAATAAAATAAAAAAATCTTAATTTATGAGATTTCCCTCAAATTCAATCAAGTGAAGGAAATGGGAAAAAAATATTTCTCACATGAAAAAAGGTTGGTAAGTAATGTTCGTCGGCGTAGCAATTGCGCCCTTCCATACCAGGCTGTTATACAAGAAATATTCCTACAAATTACTCAAATGATTCTTGATCTTTGAAGTTTGAAGATTAACATAATTGTTGTCAATATAATTAATTCCCATTTCAAAAAAAAAAAAAAAAGCCCAATTAAACAAATTAAACCTTAAACGATTTATACAAGTATACTCACCCTGCAATAATGCCTGAATTTTGTGTAGTAGAGACTATCGGCCATAACTATGATCGCATGTTGGCGCTTCATTGTGAACCACTACAAAAATTTAACGTCAAAATTTGCATGAAATTAAAAAAAAAAAAAATTTAGAAAATTGCTTATGAGTTACGATGTTGAAAAAAGATGCAATTTCAAAAACTTTTACCTGTGCGCCCTTCCGAAAAGATTTCTTCTCAACTTCAGGCAACATATGTTCCGAGTATCGCCCACTTCCATGTGGACCAGGATCCTCAAAGCTACAAATCACCAAAAATTGATTCCTATTAAGTTATATATTTTTCCTTTAAAAGGAATTAAAAAAATATAAAAAAAAGTTTTTAATCCACCAGGCAGTAGTATCTTTGGAGAAATAGGCGAGGGTTTGAGTCTTATCAGATGCAGTGTGGGCCACTTTGTGCCTTGTTTATATCTGATGTGATGCTTTTGGACAGCGGTGTTAGTCAGGTTACGAATTGTTTGAAATATAACTTTTTTGAAAAAAAAAAGGTTAAAAAAGTAGTGAAACATTTAAGAGGTGTGTAATTTACCTGTCAATGAAGCTGACATTTGTGTACATAAGATAATTGTACACATAGTCGAAATCCCGCAAGGGTACACAACTGAAATGCAAAAGAAACAAGAATTTAAAGCAAAATGAGAGAGAGAGAGAGAGAGAGAGAGAGAGAGAGGTGGTTGCCTGTCGGATAGTAATACAAAATGACGATTGTCGGAATCTTTTAGTGCATTTGCCAAAAGTCGTTTTTCTGCATCAACCATCGAAATTTTCCCCCAATCTACCTGGCATAATAGATTAAGATATTGTTTCACTTTTACTTAATGACCTAAAAGAGGACATGACTTAATATGATAATTTATAAGCTAGATATGGGTGTTGAGGCGTTCTTTTTTGACTTAATGCAGAAAGAACGACTTAATTTGAGTGTTTGGTCACTAACTTATTATTTTAACTCGGAAGGTCCCTCCTGTTTGTTTTTGTTACGCGCTTGGTCTCTGTCTTACCTAAAATAACTATTTTGCACTTGATTTTTTAATTTATTTAAATAAACACACCCCAACCCTACCACCTTCACCTTACCTTACCTACCCCACCACTTTTTCCTATCTAAATAATAGTCTTTTTAGGTAATATAAAGATCAAACGCGTAACAAAAACAAACATTAGGGACCAAACACGTAACAAAAACAAAAAGTAGAGACTTTCCGAGTTAAAAAAATAAGTTAAGGACCAAGCGCGTAAATTGCCCCAAACCATAGGGACCATTCGTGTAATTTACTCTAACTTTTTAGAAAATTTCACTCGTTTATTTTTCCTTCCATCTCCGCAAGTGTGTCGTCAATTTCTCAAATATTCTTTAAATTTATGCATACAATGCTTCATCAAGAATTAATATATTCGAATTTCTTGATTATGAATCTACATACCTTGCCACTGCGAATTTCCCGGTTGATGAAGTAACGGCTAGAATGGACGGGTTTTTCTCTTGATGCATGAATGTAGACGGAAAATCTACCATCATGTCCCTATTATATACAATAACAACGTCACTAAGTAAAATGTATCTAAAATGATACATTTAAAACCCAATGTGTCTTATATTTATCACGCACATTGTGCTTGATAAATAGCACACACCGTACATTATTGTGCTTGATTAATATCTATCCTACACATATTAATCAGGCACATGCAGTACACAAGCATATTGCCTAATTGATATATTGAATATGCCTAATATATATTAATCATGCACAGACAATATGACATATTGTATGTGCCTAATTAGTATTGTTGTGTCTATGATACATACTTGTATGTATCAGACACATGACATTTGTATATGCCATCAATACCTGAAAGAATTTGTCCCACAACTTCTCGAAAGGCAATGATCCAACACTCAAGAACATGAAAGCAATCTTGGGATTATTCGACTCAATTGATGGTGTGTTCAAAATATTCTTGATAAAAACACGAGAAGCAATCTCAGCATCACTAAGTTCTCTTGCAGGAGGTGGAAGCCAACTAGAAAACGTGTTACAACTAGATGACATAATGATATGACACGCACCCGAATTTTGAAGTGGATAAATATAAGCAAAAATCAAGAAAACACAAACAAACACAACCAATATAATAATCCAAGTTGGTTTCTTTAATCGAGCACGATGACGTGGCAAAGGCAAGATTTTTGTGTCTTTCATGCCTATACGCCATGCCTGAGCTGCCTTCATTTAAAGATAATACATCACACGCTTATATCCAATGAAATTGTCTCTTTTGAGAACATTAACCTCAAAACTATAGAGTAACACTAAGATCAAATCAACACGATGTTCCAATCCTTTAATTATCCAAGCCTGTAAACAAGAAAATAAAAGTTTAACTTGCGATAATCACTTTGAAAATGCACATCCGATTAACATAAATTAAAAATTCTTGATTTTGCAAACATTAGGATTCAAGATTTTAACATAAATCGACCCGTTTCACTATGATTAACAAATGAATTAAGCAATAGATCAAGAAAGCACAAACTTGGGTATCTCAATTGGATCGATTCAACCACATATAACTTATCATCATTATGAAGCTTAAAATCGAAATCGAAGATTGTTCAAGGAACGGATTTCTAAACAACCGACAATTCACAATAAAAGATGAAGAAAACAGGAAGAACAATGCACAAAATGAAAAGGGAAATGAAAAATCAACCAATCTCAGTCAACGACCAAATTCTAGTCCTAATTTAGACATTGGATACATGAACACGAAACATTCATGGCTTTAGTTCCCTAAATGCCAACATAAACGCAAATATGTATATATAAACGAATGTAACACCATTTTAAAGCATCGAACGAATCCCCCCTAAAAAAAATCAAATCTTTATACGAATTCACGTGAACCCATTTGAACATTGCAGAATTGAATCTGATTAATACCCAAAAGGGAAATTTAATCTAGGGGATTTTTCTTGAAATAATACGAAAAAGAAATGACTAATGGTAATACCTGATTCAAAAGACATGTCCTTCAACCTTCAAGCTCTTTCTTTAAACATTTACCTCGAGTAAAATAAGATCTCACAAATGAGCGTTAAGATCTGGAAAGAGGGTTTATCTGTAATTTTATGAAGTCGATTCGTTTGTATCTCTTGATGAGTGAGAGATTGGAAGATGCAGGATGAAGGTTAAAAAATAATTGTGTTTTTTGATTGGTTGTTTCGTGTTTTTACAGAGCCCAAAGAACAAGAAGAATTCTGCCGGCGAATTTTATAACAGTCGGGTACGGGGTCATACTTAATTTTTTAACATTAAATGGTAATGGAGTAGTAATGAGTAATAACATTTAAACCCTTCATTATTTGGACCACTATCTATTGATTCAAACTACTCCACTTAAAAATGTCCAATCTATAAGGGGTGGGTATGGATTGGATAAAAGTGTCCAATCTATATGTGTGTATTGATCCGAAAAGCTCCGGGTTATTTATTACTATTGTGAACACCACTACACTTCATCGGTAATAATGTTAATTTTCGACACGGCCTGTTAATATAAGAGTTTTATTTGAGTTTTTCTGACCGTTAACCCATTTACAATACGGGTCGTGTTTGGGTTTACAAATAATTTCACGAGTTGACATATGAACATGTTTTATTTTATTAGATTAAAAAAATAAAAAAAAAATATTTATTAAATAAATGAGAGATGAAAGACTAATAAATAAATATATGATATTTAGACTTTTTTCCATAACCCATGAACTTGAATTTGACCCAACAAACTCGTATAATTAAACGTGTTGACATGTTTGTGGCTAATTTGGGTTGTGATTGAACAAGACGATACGAATATTTATATGAGTCGTGTCCATGTTTTACTTTTATGACCCGCCAACCCAAATAAGACATGATTGTCACCCCTACTCATCGGGTTCCACAAGAAAGACACTCTTTTGGATTGTTTCTCCTGAACTGTTTCTCCCTCGTGGCCATTATTCAAAGGCTAGATTCTCCCAACGATCATATTCTTTTTTTTTTAATTAACCTTTTAAATACATATTTTAATTTATTCATTTTACCATACCATATTTGACAACATTCCTCCTCAGAATATTTCACAATCAAAATGGATTCAATCCATGATAAAGGCTGTGTTACGAAAAAATGTACAACGGGTTCACAACAACAACCAACTCTCGACACCTATTTCACATATTCAATAGTTGAAGCTCAATTACCACAATTCCCTCGCTGTTAAACTTAATTTTTCACCATTTCCAATAATTAGAAACACCAATAATTGAAAATGTGGAAAATGAAACACCATTGACAAATGTTTGACAAGTGTTTCAAACACTTGTCAAACGAACCTTTTAACCCTTCCTACTAGAGTTGCACATCGCCATCTGAAAACACTAGATTTCCTATAAACCTATTTGAAGAAATATAGAGCTTGGGAGGAAGAACTTGACCAGACTGACTAGCTTTATGAATTTGGATCTCACTTTTCATCAATAGAGAAGTATAAGCCTCGGTGCTTAGAAGACCTTAACTATAGATATTTCATTGTCCATGTTTAGAGATCACATACACTTTAGAGTTTCAGAGATATTTCAACATTTGGTTCTCACTATATATCATTTTTCTAACCACACCTACTAGTGAGATATTATGTATTTTAGCCTTGTATTACTTCATTTTTACCCCTCATAATTTCCAAGCATTTAAGGGGGGATCCTATTTCGAGGAGTTTCTTATTCTGGGATTGTGGACAATGAATGGATCAAGTAAAGGCTTTGGGCTTTAAGAGAATAGGGTTTAGACCCTATTGGATGTGGATAATATTAGTTATGTGATCTAAGCCCTTGGTTTGTGTTTTGGAGTCAAAGGGTAAAATGGGAAAAGTGATGTTTCATACTTCTTTCATGAATTAAGGATTTTAGTTTGATATGTTTTAAGTCAAAAGTAACTAGATAGGGTTGTGGGGCTCGTCATAAAGATCGTCGAAAACGGAGTTGAAACGAAGAAGTTATGACTGATTGAAGTTGGAATGGATTTGGATGAAAGACCGTCGCCATGGAGTGGGGATCAGAGCCCACGACGTGGCAGTTGCCACGACACGATGATTAGTTAGGCCCAAGCCCATGATTTTTAGGGTTTTCAACGTATTTCAGCATCATGTTCCGACTTTTTGGCCACTTTGTCAGCCTCCATCACCTCTAGAACCCATTGGGAGAAACCATAGCCTCCACCTTCAAGATTTGAGCTTCTCATCTCTCCTCTGTTGGATGCTTTTTATGTTAATTTGATGAAGTTTAAAGATAAAAAAAGGTTCTTTTGGTTGCAAGAAATGATGCTTCAAGTTAGGATCCATCAAAGACACTACATTTCTAGACTATTGTAAGTATAAAGTTTCAATCTTGCCATCTAGTTCTTTAGATCTTGTCATTTGGGGGGAGAGGGGGGGGGGGGGTTTATGGGTGAACTTGAAGTTGAGTGGACTCCAACATATTTTGACCATTTTAGAATGCTTCATGGACCTCATGGACTAGGAAAGTTGTGATCTTTTACCTTCCCTTATAGCCATGCAAGTTATCTTTAGTCCTTTAGGTCATTTTGGTGTATTGGAGTTTATATCTTCGAAGCTTGAGACATTATTATGGATAAAGTTAGAAACTTTATCCATCTAAACATCATGTTGATTCAGACCTGAAGGTTGGAGACTTGGACTTAATGGATTAAGTTAAGAAAGATGCATTTTGGGTCCCTTTGAGACTTAAAGTCTACATCTTGATAGTTTAGACTTTCCTAATAGATAAAGTTAGAAATTTTATCCATTAAGACCTTGGAAATGATCAGATCTGAGATTTGGAGATCCTGAAATCTAAAGAAAATGGATTAAGCTCGTTTGAGTTGTTCAGACCAGTCCTTACGGCGTGGCGACTGGGGAACCATTGACTGTTTTGGCATTTTGTGCCCACGACGTGACCAAGGAAGGTTACGTCGTGGAGGGCTTCTGTTGGCAATTTTTGTTGGATTAAGGTGTCAAAGATCATAACTAAATTGGTATAAAGCTATAAATGGAAGCAAAGCCCTTTCTGGGTTGCCCTTAGAAGTAGTAATTGTGTAGAATGACTTTTGGAGAGAAACATTGATTTATTGATTTATTATATGATTAATAAATATTAATAAATGATTTTTTAATATATAATGTGATTAATATATTAATTAGAAATAACACTATTTAATTAATAATTAATCAGAAATTAACTGGAATTAATTTTGGGATTAATTGGAATTAAGTAAAAGTGCAATAGTTGAATTGTAGTTGTTCAATAGTTGAAAAATAGAGGCAATTCTAGATTGTTTCTAGGGTTGGACAATTTCTTGGAGCCTTTTAGGGTTTCTAGAATATTCCTGACTACTGATAGGGATAAGGATTTGAATAGATTAAAATATTATTATTTTAAAATTCAAATCAGGGTTTATCCTTGTGATCCCCTAGCTATAAATATGACCCTTTGGCTCATTATTTTCATGGTCCTCACTACCTAGAAGGTTGAAGAATGAAATTCCCTTCCCCTCTCCTCTCTCCTCAAGTCTTCTTGTTACTAGGTGTAACACCCGATTTCTGGTCATTTCTTAATTCAGGGTCGGGGGTCAAAAGTCATTTGTGTTAAGGCTTTGGGCCTTAAGGAGGTAAAGTTTGGACCTTTTAGGAAGTGATAATGATGGTTGTGAGATCTGAACCTTGAATTGTGTTTTGGGCTGAAGGGTAGAAAAGGAAAAGTCATAGACCGGGTTTCTTGTATGAATTACGGATTTTAGTTCGAGAAGTTTTTAGTCCAAAATAATTAGATAGGATAATGGAGCTCTTCAATACCTTTTAATGCATATAAAGAACGCCAAAATCGGAGTTGAGACGAAGAAGTTATAGCATGTTGAATCTTGAGTTGGATATAAAATGTGGTAGTACGCTGGGTGTACTCAAGGTACGTTGGGCGTACTAGCTGCCAGAAAAACGTGACTTTAAGGGCGTATGCTGGGCGCACGTGAACAGAACGCAAACCCTAAATTCGGGGTTTTGATCCCAATTTAAGGGCCTTAACTCCTCTAAACCTCTTCCATTCTCATCCCTTATCTCTCCAAACGTCCTCCTTGAAACCCTAACCCTAGTTTGAGCCTTATGAGCCAAAGAGTGTGTTTTTAGGTGCCTTTGAAGGAAGAAGAAGGTGTTGGTAGTTCTTGGAAGCTTGAAGCAACTTTGGATCTAGAAGTTCTCATCCCCCATTCATCTCCAGAAGGTATAAAGTTTATACCTTTATGCCTCTATTGATAGATGTAGCTTAGATGTTAAAGATATGTCCTTTTTATCCCACAAATTGGTACTTTTAAGTGTGAGTTGTTCCAGATCTTGTAAGGTGCATTTCCAGGTGTATTTGAGGGTGTTAAGTCATAAAAAATGCAATCTTGATCTTTTCCTTCCATTCATGCATCAGTTATGAAGCTTAGAATCTTATGATAAGTTAGGGTTGTGGAATTGGTCTCTTTCTAGCCTTGCAAAATCATAAAGCCGGAAACTTTATGATCTAGAATGTCTTCTGGGATTAGATCTGAGTGTTGGAAGAAATGTCTTAAGGGAATAAGCACTTAATAAAGGATTTGTCTTGGATGTAAGTATGTCGGGCGTACCTGGGAGTACGATGCGCGTACTTGGCCTGAGTCTCGTACGCTGAGCATAGGGATGAAGTACGTTGGGTGTAACATCCGGACTTTCAGATGCATTAATGTGTGTTTATCTTTGAGATTTATGGAGTGACTCGACGAGTTGTGAGTCCAACTCGCCGAGTAGGGTCGGGTTGGCCACGTGGATTTAATGAGTGGACTCGACGAGTCAGAGAGCTGACTCGCCGAGTAGGTGCTGGGCAGAGAAACCCTAATTTCCGGGGGTTGGGGCCTATTTAAAGGCACTTATAGCCTCATTTGCGGCTACACTTCCCTGAGAACAAACCCTAGACGACCTTTGAGCTTTGAGGGAGAGTGCTTGGCTAATTGTGAGTGTTTGGTGCATCTTGTGAAGAGGAGAGAAGATTTCCAAGCCAAGGGTCAAGAAGGTGCTGCTAGATCTGAGATTGTTTCTCTTTAGAGCTTCTGGGAAAGGTATAAAGCTTGCACCTTTCTCATTATTTTGTATAGATCTCATGATTTTAAGAATCTAGGGTTTTACCACCCAAATATGAGGACCTTGAGTGTTTTATGTTCATCGAGAGGGTTGAACTATAGATCTGGACCATGTGAGGTCCCTA